ACTGTGGAGCGGGAGCCAGAGCCGGCTGCCCCACCAGAGGTGAGTGGCAGGGCAGGGATGTGGGGAGCTTGATCTGTTAGTCTGCCCAGGGGCTGGTAGTATCAGCGTGGCGCGGGGAAGCGTGACCAGGCTGCTGTGGGGTTGATGCAGCCTCTCAGGCTCTAGCCCTGCAGTCATTGTCTTTCCATGGCGATGGGCTTCAGGGTCTGTGCTGCCCCCAGCAAGAGCCACCCCAGACGCATCCTGCACCCTTGCAGGGGGCCCTGGTACTCATGGCTGGCTCTGAGAGCTTGTGCCAGTGGTTGGGGCCGGGCCAGGCCCTGACAGGTCTCTCCACCTGCTGTCCGTGTGGGTGCTTGAGGGCATGTCTGGTCTGCCGGGATAGCTGTGGGGCTGCGGGGGGCAGCAGGCTGAGCCTGGGTTGGCCACCTCCAAGGCCAGGGCAGGTGCCAGTTCTTCACTGCAGCCTGGCAGCTGCCCAGGGCTGCGCGCCCCGGAGAGCTGGCTCCAGGGCAGGGTCCAGGCGCGTCCAGCTTTGCCGTGCTGTCCCAGGGTTCTGAAGTCTGGCCCTCTCCATAGCGCTGTCCCTTTCCTCAACAGGTCCCGCGACCGGCACCAGACGTGAGTGCAGTGGAGCAGAGTATGGTCCTGGCAGGTCAGCGTCGTGGCGGCAAGGCTCCCTGGCTTTGTCACCCTCTACACCCATGGGGGGTCCTTGCCCTGCGGGTACCCCTCACTCCAGACCTGCAGCTCTCTCTGTGGTCCTGTGGCACTCTAGGCTGTTCCCAGCAGGGGGCGCTCTCACTGCACTGTGGGACCCGGGAGTCCTGCCCTGTCCCAAGGCTGGGACCAAGTGACCTCGAGGTCCCTGGGATCCAGTGCCTGGGCTTGGAGCCAGCGTTAACCCTTTGCATCTCATTCCTCTGCTGCACCCTGCTTGTCCCCTATCTTGGGGCAGCCGGAGACGCAGCCGCCCTCTAGACAGGCTCTGGGGCTGCTGGGACCCATCGGAGCAGGGCCCTGTGACACACTGCCTCCTGTCCCTGCAGAGCATGGGAACGCGGCGGCCGCGCGGGGCTGCTACGAGGAAGCTGTGTGCTGCTTCACCGAGGCCGTCAAGCTGAACCCACGGGACTACCGGTGAGCACCAGGGACAGGCAGGAGCTGCACTGTCAGATCCCCCGGGCTGGGCTCAGCTCGCAGCCTGTTGCTCTAGGGTCCCCCTGACCTGCTGGCCTCCCCACAGGCTTTTTGGGAATCGGTCGTACTGCTACGAGAAGATGCGGCAGCACACGGAGGCTCTGAGCGATGCCCAGGTGGCCCTAAGCCTCCGGCCTCACTGGCCCAAGGGCTGCTTCCGCAAGGGCAAGGCCCTCATGGGGCTGCAGGTATCAGGGCCAGGCTGGGGGGCACGGAGCGGGGAGGGACCCCCTGGCTTGTTCCAGCCCAGGGCTGCCTGGGACGGTGTGTGGGGCCTGGCTGCTGGGCTGGGGGTGACAGCGGGGGAAGAGCCTCCTGGCCCAGCCCAGGGCAGGGGGTGACCGCACCTGTTCTCCCCAGCGCTACGCAGAGGCTGAGCACACCTTTGAGCAGCTCCTGCGGCTGGATGGCTCTCACGCCGATGCGGCTGCCCAACTGGAGATCTGCTGGCAGCTGGGCAGCCTGGTGAGCATCCCCCTGCCCCCCCCCTCGCTTCCTGGTGCCCGGTCCAGCGGAGTCTCTGATGGGTTCTTCTCCCCGGCAGGGGCATAGCACCGGCAGCTGGTACAGTGAGCCGAGCAGTCCCATAGAAGCCTTGCTGAGGGACATGAGGTCCTGGTCCCTGCTGCATGGTGAGGGCTGAAGGAGTGGGGCTGGGGTGGGGGATGAACCTGTGGGAGAGCAGGGGCTAGGCTAAAACAAACCCAAGGAGTTGAGGGGGCTTCAGAGTGAGGGAGAGGAGTGGGTGAGAGTGGGGGGCAGCGCAGGGCTGAAGGGGGCAGATGGATATGGCTCAAGAGTGATGGACACTGACAGGGCTGGGGGCCAGGTGTGAAGGACACCAGCAGGGCTGGGTGGAGACCGGGGCCTGCAGCTTGGGAGCGGGGAGCCAGGGCAGCCGTGGGGACTGCTGGCCATGGAGTGGTTGAGCGGGCCTGCACTGTGTCCCCAGGTGAGCAGGTTGATGCCAGCATCCTCCCGGACAGGGCTGAGAACACGGACAGCGGTTTCGTGACCATTGTGAACCCCAGGAACCGGGCAAAAGGGCCTGTCCGGCTGGAGGCCCTGGCCCCGACCCCAACCTCCTCTCAGCTGCCCAGGTAGCTGGCGCCCGCGGCAGGGGTTGGGGGTTGTGTGCTTCTGCCTCGGGCCATGGCCGTGGGGCTCAGGGCATGTTTGACGGTGCTGTTGCAGGGGGTGGTTCGCTGTGTGGGTCGGCAACGTCACGTCCCGCATCACCCTGAAGCAGCTGTATGCGTACTTTGGGCCGTAAGTGTCTCAGTCTGCCTCCCCGTCCCTGTGACCCTGGGGGCTGCTGCTGCTCTGCGGGCAGCTCCCCAGCCCTGTCCCGACATGCAGGGGCCATCTCCTGAAGGGTGGGCACTGAGCCTGCTCTGCTTGGCAGGTTCGGGCCCATTCACTCCATCCGACCAATCCCGGAAAAGTTCTGCGCCTTTGTCAACTACATGCAGCGCGAGGCAGCTGAGAAGGCTTTCGCCGCCATGCAGGTGAGGAGCGCCAGGGCAGGGGGGTCTAGGTGATGCCTGCGGTCTGTGCCAGTCCCATTTCTTTGTGATTTGATGAACTCCCGGCGCTTCCTGCACTCCCCTGGGTGTCCCGGAGGCGGCCACTTGGCCCTGCTCAGGCCCGGCATAGTGAGATTTGGCAGACCCCAGCAGGAGGACCCCTGGATCCGCTCTGATTTGGCCCTGGCTGTACTGATGCTGGGGCAGCCCGGCCCACACCAGGACCCCTACAGACCATGGGCAGCAGTGGGACTCTGTCCGCTCTGCACCGGGGCACCACACAGCAAGACCCGGAGCCCTGGTGCTGCATCCATGGACGTGGGCAGCCGCACTTACCGATTCCTCCTTTCCCTGCCAGGGGGCTGAGGTGGAAGGCACCAAGCTGGTGCTGCAGCTCAAACATCCTGTGCACCGGACACCACCCGTCACCAGTGCCCAGCGGCCTTCGGCCAGGTAGGTGCTGCCATGGGAGGGCAGAGCGGGGCCCTGCTGGGCTGGGCAGGTGTCCCCTCCGGGGCTCCACGTTCCTGTCCTGATGCCTTGAGGCAGAATCTGCCCCTGCCTCAGAACAACTCCCAGCCTGGGGGTGGGCACGGAGGATCTTGGCTTCCCAGAAGGGGTTCATTTGGAGCAGAGGCTGGTCCTGCTGCGCTGTGGTGCCAGCCCTGCCCGCAGATGGGCAGGATAGCGGTGGTGGGGGTGGCTGCGTCCTGGGGGATACTGGAGCCTGTGCCTGTGCCTGCAGGGAGCCCGTGCGCCCACCCCCCGGTCTCGAGCGCCCCCCGCAGCAGAGCAGTGGCCGCGTCCAGCACCCGCCCCAGAGCCAGGGGCCCGCCAGGAAGCCGGGGCCGCCGCGGTAGGGCCCCGCCGTGCCGGAGCACCGAGATCCAGCGTGGGCGGGCGGTGTCGTGCTGCAGCCGTCCGAGGAGGAGGCTCTGTGCCCCGGGTGCTGCTGGGGGTGGTGCCCGGGCCTGTGCCTTAGTGTGAGCGCCCCCGCCCCGCCCGTGTGGCCACGCCCTCATGCCAGCCTCATACCAAAAATGCCCAGGGGTGGGGCCTCACTATCTACCTCTTGCATTCCCATTGGCTGAGCCCTGGGGCAGGGGCGGGGCCTGACCACTGAATGATTTTTAGCTCTGAGGGGAGCGGTATTGTGGGGCGGGGGGGCCAGCTCCCGTCCCCCCTCCCCCTCGGACACAGGGCTGCCCCAAATCAGGTGCATCATGTTTTTAATGGTCCCTTCGCCGTGCTCCAGGGTCGGGGCTGCTGCTGTTGCCGGGGTGCCTGTGGGGTGGGGGCCCAGTCTTGCCTGTCTCCCGCAGGCGGTGGCTCTCCCAACCGGGTCGAGGTGGGGGCAAGGGGATGGTGTGGCCATGCCGCGGGGTTGGGGCAGCTCCAGCCCCTGTCTCGAGGCGCAGCCGGGCTTGGTGCTCTCAGGGACGTGCACCGGACCTCGGGACTGTTTTAATAAAGCTCCTGGAAGAGCCACTCGGTTTCACCCTTCCTTCCCAGCGCGGCATCTGGGCATTGGGTCGGTAGGCAGCCTTGCCTCCGTGGCACCTGGCCTGCACTGCTCCCGGGCTCTGCCCCGACTGGCCCCTTTCCTGGGCAGGAGGAGCCTCCCTGCGGCTGGGAGACTTGGGTCCTGCTATGGCTGCTCCAGTGGTATTGCCAAGGCTTCTTGCAGGGGTCTGTGCCCAGCCCCACCCCCATCTCCAACCCCTTCATGGGGCATTGGGCAGCCCATTCAGGGCCGTGTGACCCTGGGCATGGCCCCCAGCCCTGGACCCTGTAGGGGTGGCACTGCTCCTAGTCCTGCCGGTGTCCCTCGCTCCCGACCTGTGGCCCACCTCCCCGGCTCAGGACTCCTCCAGGTTCCCAGGATTCCCCAAGGCCTCAGGCTCTTGCAGCAGCCTCGGGCAGGGGCCTGGCGGGTCAGCACAGGTGGGTGGCTTCCCTCTCCGGTTGCACCCCTGCACCCTGCGCTCCTCGAGGCGTCTCCTTGGAGGCTCTGGCCATCTGTGCAGGGAGACTCTGCGTTTGTGCGCTTGGAAGGGACTCGGCTCCACAAAGCTCCTTGAACACGCTGGCAGCATCCGCCCCCAGGTTTGGCTGCAAGATGCCCCTCAGCTGGCGGGTCCCCCTGGCTGCACTCTCAGGGCTGTTGCAACCGGGGATGGGTCCTCTCTAGTGCCCAGCTCTATGGGGAGAACCCCCTGCCCCCGGACAGTAGAGGGGCAGAGAAGCTGCCCATGGTACCCAGCGCTACCAGTTTGGTTGCCCTTCAAGAGGGAGCATCCTCTGTTCTTCCCCCAGCTGCCACAGGCAGGGACCAGGCTCTGCCTGGGTTGAGGTGGCCTGGTTCATCTCCACCGGCACAGCAGGCTCACGGCGGAGGTCAGCTCCCCCGGAGTCGCCCCAAGCCACAGGCAGGAGGTGCTGGTTTGTTCCAGACCAGGCCTTGGCCGTGTGCAAGAGCTGCCCTGTGGGTGACGAGCCTAGTGCTGCTGCATGAAGGTGTCGGGCATCACCAGGGACAGCCCCGCTTGGCCTCTGCTCGCAGGAGGCTTCTCCCTGCCCATGGTCTGGAGCCGTCTCAGGGTGGTTTGGAAGTGGGTCCCGGTCCGGAGCCGTCACCCGGGAGCAGATGCAGGAGCTGCTAGTGGGCTGGGCAGCCGTGTGCAAGGCCCAGGGTCCCTGGGCTCACGCTGTGCTTCTGAGGCTGAGATGAGCTGCTGCCAGGCTCATCCTGTCCCTGCCCCGGCGCTCTGCCACTGCCTGCCCTTGCCCCGGAGCTGGCCAGGGGTCCCTGCCATTCACCTGCCTTCAGGCAACCTAGAAGGGCTTCCTCAGGCCCCCCCACCTATGGGTGCTGCCGGGCCCAGAGGCCCTCTCTGCTCATTGCACCTGAGCCTCCGTGTCACCCTTCCCAATGGCTGTCAGCACGTGGCCCGTGGCAGCCCAGCCATAAGAAACTTTCTGCCCTTCCCAGGGACTGCTGGGCACAAGCGTGTTGTTCCCCTTGCCCTGTGGGCTGGTGCTGGGCGGGCAGAAGGGCATTACGGGCAGGCAGAGACCTGCCTTGGGCTGTGCCAGAGCAGCTGCCCCACGGTTGTAGCAGCAGGGAGCATCTCCGGGGTCAGAGGGGCAGGGTGGTGCCTGCCCATGTGGTGCCATGGCCAGCAGAGACCAAGCCCTGGTCTTACTGCGACTGCTGGGAGGGGTCTGTGCTGCCAGTGGGATTGGGGGGTGTTGGGTGCCCGTGAGCCCAGGCTTTCCCTCCCTCGCCTGCACTTGGACGAGATCCTTCCTGGCCGCAGGAGCAGGGCACGGGCAGGGCCGTGGGTGGATCTAGGATGTTGAAGTCCCCGTTTGGAGACGCACGGGCTGGATAAAACTACTGCGAGGTGGGCAGACAACTGGCATAAGAGCCACAAGCAAAGGGTAAGTATAAAGGGGTCCAGATCAGGACAGCAGGAAGTTTCGAGTGGGGTCCCACAGGGTCTGTCCTGGGCCGGGTGCTGTTCCACGTGCCTATTAACGAAGCGGATGCAGGCATGGAGAGCGAGCTTCCCGAGCCAGTCTGCGGTCAACGTGAAACTAGAGAGGAATGGGAATGCGTTGGAGGTTGTGAGTGCAACTCAGAAGGGTCTCGACAGACTGGAAAGTTGGGCTGGAGCAACAGGCTGCAGTGTCGTAGTTTCATAGTTGGTCGGGGCGGAAGGGACCTAAGCAGATCATCAAGTCCGACCCCCTGCCCTGGCAGGAAAAAGTACTGGAGTCAAACGACCCCAGCAAGGTGTTCGTCTAACCTCCTCTTAAAGACCCCCAGGGTCGGAGCCAGCACCACTTCTCTTGGAAGTTGGCTCCAGATCCTAGCCGCCCTGACAGTGAAGCAGCGCCTCCTGACGTCTAGTCTGAATCT